CAACAGCAGCAGCAGCAGCAGCAGCAGCAGCAGCAGCAGCAGCTGCTGCTGCTGCTGCTGCTGCTGCTGCGCTCTTCTAGTATTTTCATGGATGTTAATGTTTATATTGAATACAATTTGTGTTGTTTTTACTTTTATAAACAAAAGGAATGAAATCCCCCCCATACAAACGCAGTATACACCTTGCTGCTCCGCCTCCGCAGCAGCAGCAGCAGCAGCAGCAGCAGCAGCAGCAGCAGCGGCAGCGGTAGCGCGAGCAGCAACAAGCAGCAGCAGCAAGAGGGCTGCACACACACGGATGTTTACTTGTTTTTTTTCCTTTTATATTTATTGTATTTATCTCTTTGTCTTTGTTCCTTCTCTAAACATTCTGCTTCTATACACCCTAAACAAGCTGCTGCAGCAGCAGCAGCAACTCAACAACGCCCGCGACCGCGCCCCGACACCAGCAGCAGCAGCAGCAGCAGCAGCAGCAGCAACAGCAGCAGCAGCAACAGCAGCAGGAGTTTGTCGTTTTGTTTATTTTCATATAAAACATTAAACCCCTAACCACCCTTTCTCTCCCTGCCTGGGGTGTACATACACCTCACCATCACACAGCTCAACACCCGCTGCTGCAGCAGCAGCAGCAGCAGCAGCAGCAGCAGCAGCAACAGCAGCAGCAGCAGCGAAGACAGCCACAAATGCAGCAGCAGCAGCCAAGACAGCAGCAAATACAGCAGCAAGAGAAGGAATAACGTAAGTAACGCCGGCAGCAGCAGCAGCAGCAGCAGCAGCAACAACAGCAGCAGCAGCAGCAGAACTAGCAGCAGCAACAAAACACCAGCGGAACTACTACTAGCAGCAGCAACCACAGCAGCAGCAGCAGCAACAGCAGCAGCAGCAGCAGCAGCAGCAAGAGTTTATATTTATAAATGAGTGAAACACAAACCCTTGCTGCTGCAGCAATGGAGGAAAGAAAAGAAGGCTGCTTCGTTACCTTCCATTGTCTGTGCCCTGACACTGCACTAGGTAAACCCTAAACCCTAAACCCTAAACCCTAAACCCTAATACTCTAAACCCTAATACTCTAAACCCTAGACTATAATACTGTAAACCTCA